CAGCAATTCTCCTGATTGTGTCCTGGATATATATAGAGAGAGAGAGAGAGAGAAGTGAGTAGATGCGTTGGGATAGTTTGGTGTAGGTGCTTTTGCGTACTGCGCGTCGAGGAATTAGGGATACATGAGTCACTTTTGTCCATAACTAGATGGTTTGTGCAACTCATCTGGCCTCTTGGTGGGTCAGGCATGGGATTCCATAGTATAATAATGCTGGCCTCTGGGTCTTTGTTGAGAGAAGTTCCTTGGGTGAAACTGCTGTTTGCCATTCGGGCTCTGCGTTCTGGTGTTTGTGGTTGTGGTGTGCTTGTTGGGTGAATCTCAGATGGTGTGATGGGAGGCGTTTGCTGCTGTGGTGCTCTTGGTGAGTAATGCTCTGGGTGATGCGTCGACTTGTCGTGGTGATGATGGCTGTTGTGGTGGGTTAGACGTATCGGTGTGGTGCTGTATTAGAATGCGCTTGCTGATGTGTGTCGTCGTGATTTCGTCCTGCATATCGTCTTTCTTGTCGTGGATGTCGTCGAAGTCTTCGTTCATGATGCCTTCGAGTTCGTCTTGTTGTCGATTGACTTCGTCTTCAACTTGTGCTTGATGTATCCATTTTCGTTGTAGTTCCTCATTTTTTTTTTTTTTTTTTTTTTTCTTATATGCGTCTTTTGTATGCAATATGGCGGTCGATGCGTATCTCTTCTTCGATGTCTCGATCGAGATCTGGCACCGGTTGTGCGTGTCCTGGCTGAAGCTCACGTTGTTTTCTTTCGTAGCTACCTTTAGCTTGTCGTAAAAGATTTGTTATCTCTGCCTCGATTTCTCTGTTGCACTTTTCTGATTGTTCCTGTGCAGTCATATATTTGTGTATAGTCGTCTGCTGGTGTTGTACGTATGCTTCCGTACCTTCTTGGTATTGTTCTTCTGCGAGAAGTCGTTGCTGGTAATGCTGGTTGGCCATCCTGAGTTGGTCTGTCGCGCTCGTCATAATGAGGTGTGCTGCTTCTTGGTCGTTGTATCTGTCAAGTAGGTTGCTCTCGGCTTGTTTGGGGCGCTGTGCTGTTTGTACTGCCTCTTGTGCAGCGGCACCTTCATGGTCGAATAATGCTTGTGCTTGCGCTCGTTGTGCTCCGTATCTTGCGTACTATATGTTGAATTGAGTACTGCATGCGCTCTTCTGCAGCTTGTTCTGCTTTGAGTATGCCCTGTGCGTTGTTGCAGCTGGTTGAGAACCTTTGGTGTTGAGGCGTTGCTAGCGCTTGTGAAGTGAGGCCCTCTGCATATTGGTGTCTTTGCTCGTTTTTCTCAAAATAGGCTTGCCTTATAGGAGCCCTAGCCCATCATAAGTAATTGGTCTTTAAGACTCCCCCCTCTTTTTCCAATGCCTCCCTTTTTGCAATGCCCCCTTTTCCAATTGCACTTGCTTGCTTGCTCTTGCGTTCTTGTTCTCGCTTGCTTGCCCTTGCTGGCTTGCACTTGATCGCTGGCTCTTGCTTGCTTGTCATTGCTCGCTTGTGCTTGCTTGCTTCCGCTTGCGTGCTTGCGCTTGCTTGATTTTGCTCCTCCCGTTCTCCTCCCGTCCTGCTCCCGTCCTCCGTTCGTCCTCCCCCCATCCTCCTCTCGTCCTCCTCCTGTCCTCCTGTCAACGCTGGCTGATATGTCTTGTTGTGTGTTCGGCTTCGCGTTGCGCTGCTTCTTCTAGCTGGATTTCCGTCGCATTGCTGGCTTGCGTGCTTAGCTCTGCTTGTCGCAGTGCTTGCGTGTGCTCACGTGTCTCGTGGTTGTCGCTGGACGGTTGGTCGTTTGCAGCTCGTAGCTGTCGCATGGTCTCTCCTGCTGCTTGCAGTTGTTGTTGTAGTCTGGCCTCCTTGTACCTGTCTTGTTGACCTGCTTCGAGTTCTGCAATGGTCCAGTCGTCGGCTTGGATGTCGTCGTGTGCTGTTTTGAGTTGTGCCTTGAGCTTCTGTGTCTCCTGTTCAGTGTGGACATTGAGTATGGTGGCTTTGAGTGGAACCAATGATGGTCGCTCACGTGGGTATGCGTTGAGTTGTTCATCATGTGCGCGTGGTACTCGTCATTGTGGGCTGGGCGTGTGCTGTCTGTTGTTGATTTGCTCCTTCTCCAGGTTGGCATACATCTTGGTCTTGTGGATGTTGTCCTCGTGCTGCTGTTGGGCCTTGCTTAAAGGTTGCTGCCGAGATCTTTTTGCATGCTGCGTAATTGTTTGGTGAGTTTACGAATGTACTGCAATCTTTCGGCTTCTAGTTTTTGGTCGAGTAGCTACCTTTTTGCGACTGGCAGATCGTGACGTAGTTGACCTGCATCTTGTTCTGCATTCTCCATTGCCAGGGTCTGTGTAGTGAGCTTTCTGAGTACGGCTGCCTTAGACGTTTTCAATGCTCCCACTTCTTGGGGGGTGGCTTCAGGCTTATCCTTGTGTACAACGTTGTTGTAGTAAGCTTCTGGTCTGCTGTCGATCAAGAACCGACTCTCTCGTGTGGTGTATGTTGTGTGGTCTGGGCTGCTGCCGAATCCGGGTTGTGGTACGTAGTCGTTGTTCTTTGTTGGTGTAGTCGGTGGTTGTTTTGGTTTGGGTCTTGGGCTGGTATTCCTCTGCTGTTTCGGAATGTGTGGCTGTTGTGTTCAATATGGTGTGGTCGGCGCTTTTTTGTAGTAGGTGTCGCGTTGTTGCTGCTGGTATTGTGATTGTGCTGCGTAGGTCGGAACCTGTTGAGCTGGATGGGCGTGTCCGCTGTGCCCGACAGGATGCCAGGATGGTCCTTTGCCTTTGCTGTATTGTTGTTGCTGTTGTTGTTTCCCCTTGCCTCTGCCTTTGGCCCGGGGGGCTTGTGTGTGGCCGTACACTGTGTCGGCTGTCTGTCTTGGCGGCTGTCGTGCGCTGTGATATTGGTTGAGCAGAATTTGTGCTGCTTGGATCTGCTAGTAGGTTGGTTGGTCGAGTAGGGTTCGCGCTGAGGCTACCCGTAGTAGTGTGCGTGCTGCTGAGCGCTTTTCCCTCTCCCTGCGGTCCAGGCAGGGTTGAGTGAGGTCGACGTCGTCGTGTCGACAGAAGTCTGTGTTGTTGGCCAACACGACTCTGCGTGTGGTGCTCGTACGGTGCGGACGTCGAAGTCATGAGACCGTCAGGCGGGTAAGAGGAGAAGCAAAATGTCAAGATGTAAGAACGGCCGAAAGAGGATGTAAGAGTATAACCGGAAGAGTATCGCAATGGTACAGTGGGTCGACTTCGTTCGCGGCTGGCCCTCTGTGGGCTTGCGCGCCTTGCCGCGGCTCTCTGGGCCCGCGGCTCGCCCTGCTCCTCCTCCTCCTCCTCCTCCTCATCCTCCTTCTCTTCCTCCTCCTCCTCCTCCTCCTCCTCCTCCTCCTCCTCCTCCTCCCTCCGTCCCACCCCTTCGACGGGGGAGGACGGGGGCTTGGGGGGAGGGGGCCGCCTGCTGCTGTTGCCCGAGAGGCCGACCAGAGCTCCTGGCCGGAGGTCGTGCCCCGACAGAGCGTCGCCTGGGTGGACCGCCGCGGCAAGCCGCTCGCACCGGCAACGGTGGCACTTCTCCTCCTGTTGCTGCTCTTCCTCCTCCTCCTTCCTCCTCCTCCTCCTCATCCTGCCTCCTGCCCCTCCTCCCCCTCCTCCTCCTCCTCCTCCTCGTCCTGCGTCAGGAGGAGGAGGAGGAGGAGGAAAAGGATGGGTTGCAGGAGGAATAGGTAGGAAGGAGGAGGAGGAGGAGGAGCAGGAGGAGGGGGAGGAGGAGGAGGAGGAGGAGGAGGAGGAGGAGGAGGAGGAGGAGGAGGTTGATGATGATAATGAGGAGGAGGAGGAGGAGGAGGTGGATGATGATGATGATGAGGAGGAGGAAGAAGAGGAAAAGGAGGAGGAGGAGGAGAATCAGAGTAAGCATAATGTTAATCTAGAGTAATACTAGAACCTATTAGCAACACGAGTAATCTTACCTACTAATAACACTAGTACGAACATTCTGACAACCAATAATACGAATAAGACAAAGATGAATGATATTCGGACGAATGCTAATATTGAGAATACTAATGAAAACACGGAGAAATAAGACAAATACTAAGATTACGAATGCGAGCAGTTACACTACTACTACTACTACTACTGCTGCTACTACTGCTACTACTACTACTACTACTACTCCTGCTGCTGCTGCTGCTGCTGCTGCTGCTACTACTACTACTACTACTACTACTACTACTTCTACTACTACTACTACTACTACTACTACTACTACTAATGTGAATTAGACTAGTGATACTTATACGAAGAATGACAATACTACTCATACGACGAATGCTACACATACTATTCCTACTTTTAATACGAATGCGAGTCATAGTAGTAAGAAGAAGCAGGATACGGGACATACCAACAGTATTAATGTTAGTACTATGAGTATAACGAACCATACCAACGACAACACTAATAGTACGGATGTTAAGAAAAAGAAGAAGACGAACACGTGTAATACTAAGAATAATAATGCGAATATTACTCCTACTCCTACTACTACTACTACTACTACTACTACTACTACTACTACTATTACAACTACAACTACAACTACAACTACAACTAGAACTAGAACTACTACTACTACTACTACTACTACTATTACTACTACTACTACTACTACTACTACTACTACTACTACTACTACTACTACTACTAATACTAATTCTAGTACTACCATTGCGAACACTATTACATACAGTAGCATGAACAAACACAATACTAAGTACTAATTTCACTAATACGACCACTAAATTTAATAACTATCAGAATACTAACAATATGCATCATAATGCTATTGCTATGCATCGCATGTTTTTTTGTTTAAAAAAAAGAGGAGGCGGAGGGGGAGGATGGGGTTAGGATGGAGCATGGAGGTTGCATTGGACTTCCCCCCCGCCATCGGTCCGCGTGCCGCCGTGGCGCCTGCGGGAGCCCTCGTCCGCGCCGCCGCTGCTCTCGCTGGTCCTCGCCCGGTGGGGCGGCAAGCACAGGCGGGCCCGCCCACGGGGTGGAGGGCGGCGGGCCGCCCAGGGAGCGGGCGGGGCAGCGATCGGTTCGGTCGGAGCGGGGACGGAAGCACACGCCGAGCGTCCTCAGGCGCGCGCGCGCCTTCAGGTCAGCCGCCCTCCATCCATGAAGCTTTCACAGGTTGCAAGCTCCAGGATCATAAAACATGGTGAAGAAGTCTCAGGCGAACCGTCCGGCCCGCCCTTTCGACTGGCCTCGGGCTCGCGCGTGGCCAGATCCCAACATACTTCAAGCGCCTTCCTTTCGCAAGGACCGATCTGTTTCTGTTGTTTTGGTTGCTCTCCGGGCGGGCCCGGACCCAATCTACTTGATCCGCCTTCCTACTTTCATGTTTCCACTTACGTACGTACTTCTTCCGACAGGCGGGTAGCGGTGCCGAAGGCCAACGCCAGTTTCTGCTGAGAGTCGGCTGGGCGTGTGAGGTGGCCCAGCACTGCTTCCGACCGGCAAGAAGGGGGGGGGGACAGGTTCGAGGCGCTGGGCGCTGGGTGCGACAAAATAAATCTGTATTCCTTAAAGAATAGATAGTGTGTATATATATATATATATATATATATGTATACACGTATGCCAGCCTCGGGGGACCTTTTTCGGGCCCCGGGCCCGTCAAGCACGGATCTGGGGTTACTGCACCAGATGATGGACCCCAGGATGGGGGGGGTCCAGGGATCGGTCTTGAGCGGATCTGCCTTCACATCCCCCCCTCGCGACCGGCCTTCGCGGGGCCCAGACACCCCAACATACTTATACTATATGTGCGTCGCCCCCCCAGGGGCGACGCGCGCACCGAGAAATCTTATAGTATATGCATCGTGGCGGGCGCTTTCTGGCCACACCGCTCGGGAAACGACATACTACAAGATGGGTATACTATATGTTCGGGTCGGACGCGCGCCTCCAAGGAGGAGATATAGTATTAGTATGCCCATGTGCGTCCCAACTGGCCGCCTCCAGGCTCCTGCTCTCGAAGAGTCACGTGTCGCTGCCGGTGTCGCCGCGGGCACTGTCCGTGTGAGGCGAGCGCCGGGAGGGCAGCCCCTGCAGTCGGTGTTGGACAGCGTCCGTGGTCGGGCGTCCCGCCCACTCTCTGCCAGGCATCCCGCCCGCTCTCTGCCCCTCCTCCTCCTCCTCCTCCTCCCCCTCCTCCTCCCCCCTCCTCTCCTCCCCCTCCTCCTCCTCCTCCTCCTCCTCCTCTCCTCCTCCTCCTCCTCCTCCTCCTCCTCCTCCTCCTCCTCCTCCTCCTCCTCCTCCTCCACGACGTGTGACCTGAGGGGGTTGCAGAGCCGCGCACCGGTGACGCGCAGGAGCCCCGTGCAAGTGTACCAGAGGGGACGACACCACACGTCAGCAGTCTATTTCGCTTCATACTGACACTCGGCGGCGAGCCGGGGGGGAAGTGGGGAGGGGCGGGACTTCTCAGGAGGCTCGGAAGTCTCGAGGCCTTCTAAGAAGCTCCGCCGCCTTCTGCCAGGGCCTTCGCCTTCTCACTTCCCCCCTCGCTCGCCGCCGAGATTAATGTTTTGGCAGCTTGTCTTTGCTTATCTACGCTGCAAATGTGTTCGGCCATGGGGTCGGCATAGGTTTGCTCAGTTCGAGCCACGGCGTCCCGCCGGCTCGTGCTGCTGGTCTGGGTGATCGGGGGCAATCGATTGTAGCCGCCTTTTGCAGTCGTGCTGAAGCTTTCGCAACCACAGTTCCACTGCGTGATCCGTGTTCGTGTGAGTCATAGGTTTTGTGTTAGAAGGCGTTGCAAGGAGACGCCGCAGCGCAGTGAGAATCGTGTCGGGCACTTCGGCCATGGCCGTCAAGTGCTCACGCAAGCCAATCGTTGTGCCAGTCAATTCAGCTCATCGCATGTGGTGCCTTCTTGGGGGAAATTCTTGCGTTATGCGGAGATGCTGGATTCGGTCAGCGGATAAATGCGAGAGGGTAACGATGGGGAATGCCGTGATGACGTCGGGGAGTGTTGAGTGTGTGGTTGTTGTGTGTGAGAGTTCTGGGTGGACGGGCGGGCGTGGCAGACGGCGGTGTGACCTCAGCGTGCCGCCAGTACACGCCAGCCCCTCCCGGCTCCCTCCCTCTTGCCTCTTCCCCCCCGCAGGCTGGGCGAGGACGACGACCCGCTGGACGAGGGGGACGGTGGCTGGGGCCAGTTCGGCGCGCCGCCGACCGACTGGTGCCCCCGCGGGAGAGCTCCAACTGGTGATGGCTTCGCGGGACCGGCGCAGGCTCCGCGGCGCCGCCCGCGGTGGCCGCCGCCGTGGGAGCGCTCCGTGCGAGCGCCACCGCCCCCGGGGGCTGCCGCGGGGGCCGCCGCTGCCGACCGCCGCCGTGGGGGCTGCCGTGGGAAGCTGCCGTGGGCGTCGCCGCCGCCAGCGGGAAGCTGCCGCGGGAGCCGCCGGCAGCGGCCGCCGCCGAGGGAGCCGCTGCGCCAGGTCGTCCGCCGCGGGAGCCGCCGCGGCAGTCGTCGGCGGCAGCCCACCGCGGGAGCCATCCATGGTGCGCCATGGGGGACTCCTCCTCCTCCTCTCCTCCTCCTCCTCCTCCTCCTCCTCCTCCTCCTCCTCCTCCCCCTCCCCCTCCTCCTCCTCCCCTCCTCCCTCCTCCTCCTCCTCCTCCTCCTCCTCCTCCTCCTCCTCCTCCTCCTCCTCTTGAGGGAAGCGGGTCCTGAGGCTTGTCGCCGTCTTCGGGTTCTCGGGGGCCCTCCACGGGCCCCGGGACCCTCCGACGACGACTCGGGGCGGAAGGCCCCAGGGTCGAGGAGCCGTTCCCCTTCGGACCCGTTTCCCCCATGCCGAGCACGGTGGCCGCTGCCGCGAGAACCGCCCAGGGCAGCCGCATGCGTACCTGAGCCTGCCGTTTCGGATGCCCCCCGCGGTGATCGCCGCCATGGGAGAACCTCCGCCCCTAGATTTGCGCATGTCGAGCACCGCACATCCTCCTTGTTTTGGAGGCAGGCGAGCCCCCAACGCGCAGCGCGCGCGCCGGACCTCCTCCTGGTCGGGACGATCGCAGGGGGGGGTAGGGGGAGGGGGGAAAGGCTCTTTAAAAGCACGCTGCTGCTCAGAAGGCGCGGGCCTTGTCTGTATATGTGAGGCCCGAGCCCTTCAAGAAGCAGGGTGCTTCTAAGAAGCCTCCCCCCTCTCCCTAATCAATTACCCCCTTCTGCGATGCGCGCTGCCAAAAACTGATACGGAAAACATGGGCACACAGACCTACAACATTTCCTGGAGGAGGAGGTTTTGAAGGAGGGGGAGTAGGAAGAGGAGGAGGAGGATGAGGAGTTGAGGAGGAGGAGGAGGAGGAGGACTCGCTGCAGGACTCGCTGCCCATTTGAGACAGGAGGCCGTCTGCCCAACGGCGGCAGCTCTGGCTTTGGGACAATATTTGCTGTTTGGCATCGTAGTCACTTTTCCGTACCCATGTCGGGCGTCCAAATTTGCCTCGTCCATTCGCCTTTTTGCTCCTTCCCCAGGATGCCACTCCTGGGAGTTTCAAATTCAAAGTTGGCGCTGGATATCCCTGGTCAAAACTGGTCCAACCCGCTTGATCGGGCTTTTCCCGCTGAATCCCGCTTACTCATTTCAATCTGGCTTGATCCCGGCCGCAATCGGCCCTAGTCCAGCTCAGTGACCGTTTCCCAGGCTTAATAGCCCTTGATCGTTCTGACGAAGACCTTCTCAGAGTTGCCTCCTAACGATGGGAGGGAAGTGAGAAGCGAGCGATGGGGGGGAAGTCAGAAGGAGGAGGCCTTCTCAGAAGGCGGCGGGGCTTCTCAGAAGCCCTCCAGCCTTCGGAGAAATTTGAGTTTTGCCCTGTTCTCTGCGGAGGTGTAGAACACTTCTCAGAAGGCCCGAGGCCTCCCGAGCCTCCAGAGGGCCCGCCCCTCCTCTCGTCCCCCTGGGCTCGCCGCCGAAACCCTTCTCCTTCTCCTCCTCCTCCTCATCATCATCATCATCCTCATCCTCATCCTCATCCTCATCCTCATCCTCATCGTCATCATCATCATCATCATCATCATCATCATCATCATCATCATCAGCATCATCATCATCACCATCATCATCATCATCATCATCATCAGCATCAGCATCCGCATCAGCATCATCCTCATCATCATCATCAGCATCAGCATCATCATCATCGTCATCGTCATCGTCATCGTCATCATCATCGTTGTCATCGTCATCATCACCATCCTCATCCTCGTCCTCATCCTCATCCTCATCATCATCATCACCATCACCATCATCCTCATCCTCATCCTCATCCTCATCCTCATCCTCATCGTCATCGTCATCGTCATCGTCATCGTCATCATCATCATCACCATCATCCTCATCCTCATCCCCATCCTCCTCCTCCTCCTCCTCCTCCTTATCATCGTCATCGTCATCGTCATCGTCATCGTCATCATCATCATTATCATCATCGTCATCGTCATCGTCGCCATCGTCATTATCATCATCCTCATCCTCATCATCATCATCATCATCATCATCATCATCATCATCACCATCACCATCATCCTCATCCTCATCCTCATCCTCGTCCTCATCAATATCGTCATCGTCATCGTCATCATCATCATCATCACCATCACCATCACCATCACCATCACCATCATCCTCATCCTCATCCACATCCTCATCCTCATCCTCATCCTTATCCTCATCCTCATCCTCATCCTCCTCCTCCTCCTCCTCATCATCATCATCATCGTCATCGTCATCGTTATCGTCATCATCATTATCAGCGTCGTCATCGTCACTATCATCATCATCATCCTCATCCTCATCCTCATCATCACCATCATCCTCATCCTCATCCTCCTCCTCCTCCTCCTCCTCCTCCTCATCATCATCATCATCATCATCATCGTCATCGTCATCGTCATCGTCGTCATCGTCATCATCATCATCATCATCATCATCATCATCATCATCATCATCATCATCATCATCATCATCATCGTCATCATCATCATCATCATCATCATCATCATCATCATCATCGTCATCATCATCATCATCATCATCCATCATCATCATCATCATCATCATCATCATCATCATCATCATCATCATCATCCTCATCCTCATCCTCATCCTCATCCTTATCCTTATCCTTATCCTTATCCTTATCCCTCCTCCTCCTCTCCTCCTCCTCCTCAGCAGCAGCAGCAGCAGCAGCAGCAGCAGCAGTCCTTCCTCCTCTCCTCCTCCTCTATTCCTCCTCCACCTGCCCCTCCTCCTCCTCCTCCTCCTCCTCCTCCTCCTCCTCCTCCTCCTCCTCCTCCTCCTCCTCCCCTGAGGTACATGAACGCCGTGCTGGAGCAGGGCGTGCTGCGCCACCCGCGGCTGGGCGCGCCCGCAGCCGCCGCGGAGGGCCCGCGCGACTGCGAGGCCCGAGCCTCGCCCGGGGCGGGCCCTGGGCGGGCCTCGCCGGCTCCTCCTGCGCCCCGCGGCCTCGCAGGGGGCGGACCCCGCAGGCTCTCGGGCCCCGAGAGGGCCGCGAGGGGCATAGGAGCCTGCAAGGTCCGCCTCGCGATGGGGGGAGGGTCAGGAGTGACCCTGCTCGGCGACAAGCGAGGGGGGGGGAGTTTCGGGGTTCGATCCTCGAGGTTCGAGGCCTTTAGACGCTTTCGTAGGTTCTCGGCGTTTTTCCAGCCTGGGGATGCTTGCCAGCAGCTGCGCCTCGCCGCGGATCGTCCTGAACGGCCGCCGGAGACCCGAGTATTGGCGGCGCGCTCAGGGGGGGGAAGTGAGAAGGAGAAGGCCTTCTCAGAAGGCGGCGGGACTTCTCAGAAGCCCTCGCGCCTTCCGAGAAGTGTTGCTGGTCTTCGGGGAAGGCTGAGAGAACTCACCAGAAGGCCTCTGAGCCTTCTGAGAATTCTGAGAATCTGAGCCTTCTGGGACTTCCGAGCCTTCTGAGAATTCCCTCTCCTTCTCGCTTCCCCCGCTTCGCCCGCCGCCAACCTGCAGGATCCCTGCACCCCGCGGCCTGCCCCCAGGCAGCGCCGGGGGAGGGCTCTTGGGCTGGCCCTGCAGGGTCTCTGCCCCTCGTGGCCTCCTCGGAGCGGACCTCGCGAGGAGATGGCCAGGCCTGGGCCATCCTCCTCTGTCGCCCTCCCGTCTGCTCTTCTCCTCCCCCTCCCCCTCCTCCTCCTTCTCCTCCTCCTCCTCCTCTTCCTCCTTCTCCTCCTCCTCCTCCCTCCTCCTCTCCTCCTCCTCTCCTCCTCCTCCTCTCCTCCTCCTCCTCCTCCTCCCCTCCTCCCTCCTCCTCCCCCCTCCTCCTCTCCTCCCTCCTCCTCTCCTCCTCCTCCTCCTCCTCCCTCCTCCTCCCTCCTCCTCCTCCCTCCCCTCCTCCTCCCCCCCCTCTCGTCGTCGTCGTCGTCGTCGTCGTCGTCGTCGTCGTCGTCGTCGTCGTCGTCGTCGTCCCCCTCCTCCTCCTCTTCCTCCTCCTCCTCCTCCCATCACGGAGCTGGTGCAGCGCCCCCTTTCAGGAGGCTTCTCCGGATGTTCTCGACTGCCCGCTGGGGCGTAGCGGGGCTGCTTCGTCCTATTTGCGTACTTTCCAATCACACACGTGAATTTGCCTCTGATTACATGCATCAGTTAGGCGATGGGGGCGGGACTGCGACCCTGCCAGCTCGCTCCAGACGGGGCTCCTTTCGTCCAGGGTCCGGCGTCTGGAAGTGAGGATCCTCCTTTTTGCGCTCTGGCCGGCGCGCACCTGTAGCACCCAGCCTCACGCAGCGAGCAGATAGCGAAACCCACCGTCGATGGCACCTCAGAGGTGCCAGACTCTGTGAGTTGCCTTTCCGCCCGCACTTCTGCATGCCAGTCGGCGCGATCTCAACCCTCCATCTCGCGGGTCACGCACGCATGGGTCTCGGCATTTGTTTTCTTGAATGACGTGTCGAGCCCAGTTGGAGCTCCACATTGCACTGGGGGAACAATATTATCGAAAAGCAATTGGGCGAGGCTCTCCTGCAGAGGGTGTAGTGCGGCACAGAGGTCGGCTCTCTCACAATGAGATGTCCCATTCATTCAGTCAGTGTCAAATTTGCCATTCCCCATCACGTCAACCAATTATGTTTTTCCTGCAGTGCTCTGTGGAATCTCTCGCTCTCTTTACACATATCGGCCCGTCTCAGTGCGGACCCTTTTTCGACTGTGACCCCTTCTGTCTCCATCACTTTTCAGAATACTTGATTTGATTGGTCGGTCCCCCTTGCCTTGCACCGAGATCGACGTTTCTTCAAATTATCGGATGTGATGTCCGTCTCTCTTGTCGCTGCGCCTCTCCACTGTAAGCCAACCATGCGGATGGAGCTGTTTTCCCATGTAGCCCTCCTCTTGCGTTGGAAGCGATCGTCCAGCGTCGGGCGTCTCCTCCAGTCGGATGCTTCTTGTATGCGTGTAAGAGGGGACCAGGGCCTGGGACTCCCAGGCCGTACCTTCAAATCAGGACAATGGAGTGTGCCAGGGCCAGTCTTGCTGCTTGGAGCTCGAAGATCGGGCTCAAGGCCCCCCAAGCGGTCCAAGATGATCCCGAGACGGCTCCCAATATGGCTCCCAAGATGGCTCGCAAGGCGGCCCAAAGTGGCTTTACAACGCCCAGGAAGGCCTAGGTTCCAACGCTGCTCCAGAGGCCCCCGAGACGCGCCAAGAGCGGTCTGCGGCAGCTCCTAGGAGGCCCGTGCGAGGCAACTGTGTGTTTTTGTATATGAATGGATCTCAGAATCATCACGTCCAGGAGCGTCCACGACGGCCCCCAACATCGCCCCAAGGTGACCCAATTGGGAGTCACGGGTGCCCCCAGCTGGCCCACAGAGCAGCCAGGAGGGGCTCACGACGACCCAAGAGGGCCGCAGGACGGCCCGAGGAGGCACCAAGAAGGCCCAAGAAGAGTCCCGAGAGCCCCAAGGCGGCCCGAGTAGGCCCTCAGGGAATTCCACCGCGGTCAAGTAAGCTTTCATGGATGATCAGCCACTCGTGCGCCGCGTTTCCATAGCATCAGGCTGCTCCCGAAGGCAGGGGACTTGCAGCGATTCGCCAGAGGCGTCATCGGTATTGTTCCTCCTGCTCCTCAGTATCATTCTCGTCCTCCTCCTTCCCTCCTTCCCACTCTTCTTCTGCATTGTTATCGTTCCTGTTCCTGCATGTTGCTCCTCCTCCTCCTTTCAGCAGCCGATTCCTCCGATATCTTCTTCCTCGCCTCATCCTTTCCAAGAGGACACAAGTTTCTGCCAATATTATTATTAAGTCGTTGACAACAGTACACACCTTGATGCAATCGTAAGTTTTGTGACGAACTCGGGGATCTCCAACTTTTCGGCTTCGGCAGCTCGCTGGCGTCCCTGGGAGAGGCCATAGAACATCTACTGAAGCCCCAAGATGACCCTCAGAAGGCTCTGCGCTATGCCCTGGCGCCCAAACTGACTACAACTTTTCACGTGATGGTTCTAGTATCATTGCGCGGCCGACAGCATCCATCATTATCCACTTTGCTCCTCCGTGTTGTACCTTCGGTAGGTCGAACGCCGCGATTAGGTAGTCCTTCGGAGGAGTGCCACCGCCGGGATTCGGCTTGACACGAGTGTGTGCGCGTATTGGATACATCGTTGTGTAGTGCACTTGCGCTGCCCAAGTGGCTTGCGGTACGGCCTCGGGGCGCCCGATATCCAACCCCCAATCCAAATTTAATCCTTCGTCCTCTCTGCAGTCAGGACCCCGGCAAGTGCTGTTGGGCCTGGCGTCGCGAGGACGAGGGAGAAAGAGGGATGATGGGGCAAATTATTCAATATGGGTGAAACAGGAAGTGGCGGCGGAGGAGGAGGAGGAGGTAGCATGAAGGAGGGTGAGTAGGGAGAGTAAGCGGATGGTGCGGAGGAGACAAACAGTAGGAGCAGGGTCAAACGGATTATGAGGAAGAGGGGGAGGAGGAGTCATGGAAAGAGAAGGGCATGAGGATGACCAAGCGGAGGATGAGGTTGAAGAGGACAAGGCGGAGGACGAGGATGGGGAGGGAGAGGCAGGCGGGGAGGATGAAGAGGAGGATGAAGAAGAAGATGGAGATGAAGCTGAAGCTGAATCTGACGATGATGATGATGATGATGATGATGATGATGATGATGATGATGATGATGATGATCATGCTGCTGATGACGACGATGATGATGATGCTGATCATGATGATGATGATGATGATGAAGCTGATGATGCTGATGCTGATTCTTATAATGAGGATGCTGAGGATTATATTGAGGATGACGATACTGACGATGCCGATGATGATGCTGATGATGGCGCTGCTGCTGATGATGCTGCTGCTGATGATGATGATGGTGGTGTTGATGATGATGATGTCGACGATGATGCTGTTGATGATGATGATGATGATGATGATGATGATGATGATGATGATGATGATGATGATGATGATGATGGTAGTGATGATGAAGATGATGATGATGATGATGATGATGATGATGATGATGATGATGATGATGATGATGATGATGGTGATACTGATGAACAGAAGGGTGATGATTATCAACATCAGCATTATTATCATGATTACGATGACGCGGCTGGTGATGCTGATGATGCTGCCGCTGATGATGATGATGATGAGCGTGATGAGAGTGATGAGGGTGATGGTGATAATGATGCTGTGCTGCTGCTGCTGATGTTGATGTTGATGTTGACGTTGATGTGGATGATGGTGGTGATGATGATGATGGTGATGGCGGTGGTGGTGATGATGATCACGTCGATGACGACTACGATGCATGTGATGATGATGGTGACGACCCCGATGATGATGCTTATGATGATGACGATGATGATGCTGATGCTGATGCTGATTGCACTGATGATGATGCTGATGATGCTGATGCTGATGCTGATGCTGATGCTGATGCTGATGCTGATGCTGCTGATGATGAGGATGATCGTAACGATGATGAGGATGATGATGGTGATGCTGGTCATGATGATGGTGGTTGTGGTGGTGGTGGTGGGGGTGGGGTTGATGATGATGATGATGATGATGATGATGATCATGGTGTTGATGTTGAGGACGATTATGAACGCGACCGAAAGTCATGGCCTGCAACGGTATCGTTCGCGGAAGCATCTGCCACTCAAGCCAAACTGCGAAATTCGAGTAGGTGCCCCTTCTGCGGTGCTGGATGATAGTACAGGAGTCTTCTCCTGATCTTTCTGGTGCTGCTACTGCTGCTACTGCTGCGCCTCGTCTTCCTTTCTTCTTTCGGGGATCGCGAGGCGAACTTGAGCCACAGACGCAAGGTTTACGTTTAAGCGGCGGAGGCAAAGGCAGAGGAGGCAGACGAGGAAGGCGAGGGCCCCTGCTTCCCGCCAGGTGCTGTCGCTGTTCATCGGCAGCTCTGCTCACATGGACGCCCTGAGATCGGAGCGGGGGGGGTGCTGACCCCTGTCTGCACTCCTTCGGATCCTCCTGTTCCTCCTGTTCCTTGAGATCCTCCTGTCTACACTCCTTTGGATCCTTTGGATCCTTTGGATCCTCCTGTTCCTCCTGTTCCTCCTGTTCCTTTGGATCCTCCTGTTCCTCCTCGTCCTCTGTCCACACTCCCCTGTCTACACTCCTTTGGATCCTCCAGTTCCTGCCCTCGCTCCTGCGCCCAGCCCGTCGCTCCGCGGGGCGCGGGTGCGGGATCAGGACCTCGCGCCCAAGATCGCGGCAGCCATGCGGGGCTCGCACAAGGCCGGCTTCTGGATGCTGTGGCCAGCGGACTGGGAGGCCGACTTCGAGGGACCGGACTACATCGGCTACGCGGAGCCCCGCCCGGCCCTCCCGGAGCGGGCTCGAGCTTGGCCCGGCCTCCTCGGCGACATGCGTGCCAGTTCTCCTGGCCGTTGGGGGGAGGGGAGGGGGAGGAGGGGAGGGAGGGCGAGAGGGACGAAGGGATGTAGGAGGAGGAGGAGGAGGAGGAGGAGGAGGAGGAGGAGGAGGAGCAGGAGGAGGAGGAGGAGGAGGAGGAGGAGGAGGAGGAGGAGGAGGAGGGGGAGGAGGAGGAGGAGAAGGCTTTTATTGGAGCGTCGCTAATGGGTGCAGGACACGCGGCCGCCAGCGTCGCAGAGCGAAACCGATACCCGCGGGTACCACCCCAGTGGGTGTGCCTCTGCTCGGGCAGTGCCTCTACGCCGAACGGCGACTCGGCCTGCGACTACCTCACGCGTCGGGGAGAACCTCGAGGTCCCCAAGGACCTGATGCCCCGAACCGCGAGGCAGTTTCACCACAGTATGTGGGTGGTTTCCGCTCCAGAGGTGGTCCAGGCGGGAACGGGTCGAGGAGCTTCGCTCACAGTGCCCCTTAGACTTGGCCTGCAGGAGTTGGGTATTATCACGCGAGCGGGCGCCGCACGTGCTGCAGAAGGTAAAAGGACCAACGCACCAGAGGCGGTGGTCTACAGCCAGCCTGTAGGGAGCCTGCCGCAGCGTCTTTCGAAGAGAAAAGACGCCATAAACAGAATTTGTTCGCGCTCCGCGCTGGGCCCCCCCTGGCGGCGCCTCCGGCGCCGCCCCTGGCGCTCTCCGCGCGCCAGTGAGGGGGGTCCAGCGCAGATCCAAGAAGTCCGTGCGGAGCGCGAAAAGTTCATGCTTATGCCGTTTTGCTCTTCTCCTAGTCTTGGCCGTGTTGGCCACGCGCAGGCCTCTTGCGCAGCGCAGCTGACCCGCAGCTTGCACGATGTCTTGTTCTCCGCCGGGGACGTCCTCGCCCGCTGTGAGCCTGGGGGGGGGCCGCCGTCGGCCGCGGGTCTCGACGTCACGAGCTGACACTGTGCTGGCCGGTGGACCCACGGCCCGCAGGGTGTAAGCGAGGTTTCTTACACACATGTGCTGGCCGGCTGGCAGAGGAGGAAAAGGTACCCATACCTCCACCCTTCGCCCGTTTCCCCCTTTTTGGGCCTCCTCGGAGGCCCTCATCGCCATCGTTGGATTCGCCCCGAAATTCTGGTCAGAACGCACCCCAGGAGAGGTCCAGGGAGTAACAGTATCAGTACCTTTTGGCTTCCCCAGGTTGGCGGACCGAACAACTCGATCACTAGCCGACTCCTTTTGGGGGTGCCGTGACGCCCCGAGCCTGGCGTCTTGATCGGCGTCCTCATTGCCAAGCCGCCAATATTTGACGTCGGCCGAGAGGTGGTCAGCGCGCACGAGCGCGTGTCCTTTAACCTTGAACACCAGGACCCCCCCCAGGTCGTCCACCCGAGACCAGACCAGCTACCAGAGATCGGTACACGCACATGTGCTGCTTGTCGTGGCTTCACGACCCTTCTTAAGCTCGAGACGGTCTAGTTACAATCGAACAGATGGCGAAACGGTCCTGGAGAGACGTGGGTGAGATACATACGCGAGAAGCCCAAAAAGCTCGGCCACCTGTGAATCTAGGGGAACAAAAAAGTGACATGAACATAAAAACTTGGAGGTCCGCGCAGATTTCTCGGATCGGCGCTGGGGCCCCCCGGCGGCGCCTCCGGCGCCGCCCCTGGCGCGCTCCGCGCGCCAGGGGGGGGGGGTCCAGTGTGGGCTGCACACAACGCAGTGACATCGGCGTCACTTCCCGAAGCTTGGGCCGCGGACCAGCCCGCAGCCGCTCCTCCTGCTGCGGGGTCCGCAGGCCAGAGTGGCCTCGCAGGACCAGTGGCCTCCAGGGAGCCTCACCTCCCAACTCGCCTGCAGTTCCGGGGTGGGGGTCCGGCGCCACGCTGCGGGGTCAGGCAGGAGCCCACAGTTCCGCAGAGCGGAGCCGTGCGCCGGCACGGCGGGAAGGCGGCAGCGGGCAGGCCCGTCGATTTCCCAGGGTGCACGGACAGTCCACTCAACACGGAGGCCCCACCGTCCCGGGTTCCAGGCCACTGGTCTCGCACCGAGGGGCATCCAAGAGTCCCGCCCCTGATGTCTGAACCCCTTGCCAATGGCCGTTTGCAGCAAGGCATGTGACCGTGGCCTGACGGAGAGGCAAGCCAGCGAGACCGAGGGCCCGGTCGAGCACCGGTGGCCAATGGGGACAGGGAAGGGGGGACGAGAGAGCGAGAAGAGGCGAGGACAAGGCGCGCAGTGCTGAGCAGCCTGTCTTCAACTCCCTGCCAGGCAAGCTTCTGTACCATCCGAGCGCACGCGACGGTTAAATCAAGAGTGTCGCCTCGGATCGTCTTGAGAGGTCTGATGCCAGAGGAGGAGGAGGAGGAGGAGGAGGAGGAGGAGGAGGAGGAGGGGAGGAGGAGGAGGAGGAGGGGAGGAGGAGGAGGAGGAGGAGGAGGAGGAGGAGGAGGAGGAGGAAGGAGGAAGGAGGAGGAGGAGGAGGAGGAGGAGGAGGAGGAGGGAGGAGGGAGGAGGAGGAGGGAGGGAGGAGGAGGAGGGAGGGAGGAGGGAGGAGGGGAGGAGGGAGGAGGGAGGAGGGAGGAGGGAGGAGGGAGGAGGGAGGAGGGAGGAGGGAGGAGGGGGAGGAGGGAGGAGGGAGGAGGGAGGAGGGAGGAGGGAGGAGGGAGGAGGGAGGAGGGAGGAGGAGGAGGGAGGAGGGGAGGAGGGAGGAGGGAGGAGGGAGGAGGGAGGAGGAGGGAGGAGGGAGGAGGAGGAGGGGAGGAGGAGGAGGAGGAGGAGGAGGAGGAGGAGGAGGAGGAGGAGGAGGAGGAGGAGGAGGAGGAGGAGGAGGAGGAGGAGGAGGAGGAGGAGGAGGAGGAGGAGGAGGAGGAGGAGGAGGAGGAGGAGGAGGAGGAGGAGGAGGAGGAGGGAGGGGGAGGGGGAGGGGGAGGGGGAGGGGGAGGAGGGGGAGGAGGAGGAGGAGGAGAAGGAAGGAGGGGGAGGAGGGGGAGGAGGGGGAGGAGGCGGATGCAAGGGCTGCCGACACGGGACCTTGGACCTTCGATCAGCTCCTGTCCTCGGGGGCTCGGGCGAGGCGCCTATGGGCAGCGTTGAGGAGGAGGCCCATCCAGTCAAGTGGAAACCGGCGAGACCAGACCGCCTGGGCCAACGTGCTGATGGGTCCGACGGTGCAGTTATAGGCCAGGTCAACCGAGGCGGGGCCGCAGCGAACCGACGCGAGGGCGATCGCGAGCGAGCGACCCGCCGTGGGCACGGCACGGGCCGCGCGACTTGCCCCACGCAACGGCGGAACGCTTCCTCGCGCCCGTCCCGCCACCGAGCCCCCTCAGCGTCCCGACCGGCACAGGGCCCGCTCCGAGGGAGGAGGGGCGGGAGGAGGGAGGAGGGGCGGGAGGAGGAAGGAGGGGCAGGAGGAGGGAGGAGGGAGGAGGGCGGGAGGAGGGAGAAGGGCGGGAGGAGAGGAGGGAGGAGGGAGGAGGGCGGGAGGAGGGAGGAGGGCGGGAGGAGGGGCGGGAGGAGGGAGGAGGGGCGGGAGGAGGGAGGAGGGAGGAGGCAGGAGGGAGGAGGGAGGCGGGAGGAGGGAGGAGGGGCGGGAGGAGGGAGGAGCCCGCGCCGAGCCGGCCCGCAGGAGAGGCGCTCGCTGTTCGCCTCGATGCGCCAGATGGAGGACGCGGGCGTGCGCTCCGCCCGGCCCTCCCCCCCACCCTTGGCATCGCTCGGACGTGTGCGTTTTTTCCTCGGCGAGGACCTTCGAGGAGCATCCTTGATCATTTGGCGAAAAAACCACGCACGAAACCGAAAAAAAACGGGAAATGGACGTCCGAGCGATGCCCAGCACCGGCCCCCCCCGGAGGAGGTGCTCTTCCGCCCTTCCCCGCTCTCCCTGCTTGGGCAGGGATTTTACGAGGGAACTCCTGGAGGCCTCGCGCGGCGCGCACTCGTCGGACTATCTAGTCCACACGTCACACGTCAGCTCCGTAAGCTGTGGGCCGACGCTCGCGCGGCGATGCTCCGGCGTCAGTCCGACGTCAATCCGTCGTATTCACGTCGTAGTCCGACGTGAACCCGACGTAAATCCGACGTGGATCCGACGTACATCGGGTCTCGAGTTGCCGCGCGTGGCCTCCAGGATTTTCCCCAGGATTGAGGCCGGGGGGGGGGGGGGCGGGCCACCAGGGGGGGGGGCGCTCGCCGATTGGGACCTGGTCGCGCTGGTCCTTCCAGGTGGCCCCCCAGGGCAAGCATGTTTGGGGGGGGATGCAGTGGAAGCCCGTGCCAAGAGACGCCCTGCGTGCCTCCAGGGTGCCCTGGGCTTCTCTGGGGTGCCCTGGGCTTCTCTGGGGTGCCGATGGCTCTGCGACGGAGGGCGTGACGCTCCCGCACCGAGACTCGAGTGGCGTCCTGGGGTCTCAGGGCCGAGGAGGAGGAGGAGGAGGAGGAGGAGGAGGAGGAGGAGGAGGAGGAGGAGGGGAGGAGGAGGAGGAGGAGTCCTGGGGACTCGAGTGGTTCCTCGTGGGAGGTGTCTCGTGGTCGAGCTCCTGCTGCAGGCCACCGGAGGGGGGGGCGGGCGGGGCGCGCGGGCCGATCGGGGCCGGCGTGCGCCGCCCCGCCCGGGAGCTGGCGGCTCCGCTCTCGGGGGCCCCGTCGCCGACCTGTCGGCGGCGCGCCGCCGAGGCAAGCTCGATGTGTTGCGTCCCTGCGCTGGTCCCTCCCGCCGTTCTCTCCCTCGGCCCCCTCGTCCCCGCCCCTTCTGCTGCTGCTGCTGCTGCTGCTGCTGCTGCTGCTGCTGCTGCTGCTGCTGCGCCACCGCTCCTCCTCCTCCTCCTCCTCCTCCTCCTCCTCCTCCTCCTCCTCCTCCTCCTCCTCCTCCTCTCGATCCCTCCCCGCCATTCCTGGACTGTGGCAGTTGGTGCCCGCCGTGTCCGCGGGGGTTCGTTCGCAGGGAGGGGAGCCGGCCCCGAGGAGAACCGGTCCTGGAGCTCTCTCTTCTCCAGCGTCGGGCCCCCGGGCTCTCCCTCTGGGCCCCAGGAGCGTCAAGCAACAGCTCGGGGAGGCCCCGGGTCCAGGGCCCGTTTCGTCGGCTGCATGCCGAGGCTCGCAGATGGGGGCGGGGGCACATGAGGTGAGGGGTGTGTGGACGACTCCGCCGGGCAGCACTCATCTACTCTGTGTTCGAAAGGTTGCGCATCGCGGTTTTCCTTCGGCCGTCCCTGCGTAGCCCCTTCTGGGCTTTCTCCTTCCCTCTCTCCCGGCCTTCTGGGCTCCTCCGCCTCGGGCTCGTTTGTCCCGTCGCGTCTCGCTGGCTCTGACGTCAGGGTAGGTCGGAGCCGACCTGGTTTGGAGGCGGCCCGGGGGGTCTGAACCGGATGGGCCCGGGGAAAATTTGCCAAGGAGGGAGGAGGCCAAATCCGCTCAAGATCAATCCCTGGACCCATCCTGGGGTCCAATCTGCGCCATTTTTCACGCCGGATCCGGTTCTGGCAGTACATGAACACAAATACGAACACACAAACACAACCACGCACACAAACACGCAAACACAAACACACAACACGCACACACAATCGCACACACAAGCACACAAACACACACAAACACACATACACACAAGCACACAGCGACAAGCACAAGCACAAACACACCAACACACAAGCACACCAACGGACACACATACACATCCACAGCAGACGCACAAGCACGTAACCACACAGACACAAGCACGCAACCCCACAAGACATGCAAGCCGACAACAGACACAAACACAAACAACACAATCACACGAACACACGAACACACGAACACACAAGCACATAAACAGTCGACTCCACAAGCACACAAACACAAGCACACACACTGATCCCGGGTCCAGGACGGGCCTGGGCGGGGGCGGCGGGTATGGTCCAGGTCTCGCCGGCCCAGAACTCGAGGAGGAGATCGGTCACAGACTTGCTTCGCCCCACACCTGTCTTGTTCGCCGAGTCTGCGAGAGGAGGCGTAGACTGCCTGTAGATCTACGAACGTTCTGCGTATTGTGAAGGCTTGACGGCTGGCGAGAGGATACGTAGAATGCTCGCATATCTATGAAGGGTCTGCGCATTTTCTGGTAGATTCGACGCGCAGATCAGTTCGGGGGTGCGTCAGCTCTGCAGTCGACCCCCTGTACTCGAGCCACAGCGGCGTGCCGAGGCGCACCAGCTTCCCGCACCCCGCGAGCCTCTACGAGCTCATCACCTCCAAGAGGTGGGGCGCTCCGCCGGGCGCTCCGAGCGCGCGGGGGGCGCGCGCTTTGAGACGGGGGTCAGTGCAAACGCGGGTCAGCCAGAGCGCTCGATCTTGCAGGATCTTGCAGGGCCACCGTCGCACTGACCCGGGCTCGGGTGCGGGATCCTGCGGGATCTTGCAGGATCCTTCGCGTTGACCCGTGTTTGGGTGCAGGATCTTGCAGGCTCTTGTAGGATTCTGCAAGGCCTGACTGGCCCAGGTCTGGATCGACCCGGGCCAGAAGGTCCCCGAGGGGGGCGAGGCCAGGCGCGCCGCTCCGACGGCAGCGGCACAGCCTCGGCGGGCGTCGATCGAGAGGCCTCTGCGGCAGGTCTCGACCCGGGGGTGCCCCGAGGAGGCTGCCGTGCGAGCGACGAGGAAAGCGGGGCCGTCTTCGCCGACGCTGGCGCCCGGCTGCCCGCGTGAGGTCGCGCTTGCGCGCCCTCGCTGCCGATGCGGCGTGCCGCGCCGGCGACCCGCGTAAGCCACCGCGTAGGGTCTCTGCGTCCTCTCGCGTAAGACGCGCCTCTTTTCGTCGTTCACGTGTTGCCAACTGGACTCTTCCGCGCCTTAATGCCCTCCTCTTCCTCCTCCTCCTCCTCCTCCTCCTCCTCCTCCTCCTCCTCCTCCTCTTGTCCTCCGCGGCCGCCTCGTCCCCCTCTCTCCTCCTCTCGCATGCGCCGGCCGATTCGCGTATCGGCCGCCCCGGTCGCCGCCCGCTTGGGAGCAGCACTTCTGCCCCGCCGCTGGCGCAGAAAGTGTTGCCAACGGGCGCTGGACCTCGGAGGCTGCCCGAGGTGTCCCACTGCCGCAGGGCGTCCCCAGGATCTCTCTCCGGGGAGGCCGGGGCCCCGGTCTTTTCCCGGGAGGCCGGGAGGGCCCCAGGGGTTCCCAAAGTGGAGCGTACCGCTAGGGGACACCTCGGGTGAGGAACGCCCTTCGCCTCCTCCGCGAGGGGCATGCTGTGGAGCTGGAGCGGCGAGCAGAGCGGCGGCAGTGGGGCGAGCTTTGGTCCTTGACGCCTGGGGGGCCCAACGGCTCCCGCGTCCTCCTCGAGAGGCAGTCGACGCGACGGGTTCCTCCGGGGGGGTGGGGGAAGCAGCTCCCCTAGCCAAGTATGGCTGCTCGGATGAAGTGGAGCTGCTCGGAGGGGGAGGGACAGAGTGTGGGGTGGTGGTCTGTTGGGAGCATTGCCTTTTTGTACGTGGGGTGTGTGGGACGGTGGGAGCGGGAGAGGTGGGAACGGGGGGGGGTTAACGGGAGGGCGGTGGGGGGGCGGGGGGCAAAGTGGGAGGCAGAGGATGATGCGGTGGGTGAGTGAATCGGAGCATGGGGATGGAGAGGGTAAGGGGAGAGGGGGATTGAGGTATGATGCAAGGGAGAGGGGTTAACGCATTGCTGGGGGGTGGGCATGAGGGAAGGGAGGGCCGCTTGGAGAGGGAGAGGATGGAGGGAACAAAAGAAATGAATGGATGTCGAGGGGGATGGAGGGAGGAGGAGTGGAGGGAGGGAGGGAGGGAGGAGCAGGAAGGGAGTGGATGGCAGTGAAACCGCAGAGGGACGAACCAAGTTCGGGGAGCCAATCAGCGACACCAGAGGGACGCGTTTGCCGCTGGAGCGTCGCGCAGGCCATGGTTTCACGCTGGGCAGGCATGCCAGAAGGCACGGATGAGAGGGCCTCACCGCTGGTCCAAGCAGGCAGCGGCCACGCTGCACTGTGCACGTGCGCGGAGTGCGTAAATATGGAGGTGCCGTCCGAGCCATGCCATGCACGGCGCGCCAAAGCGTGGACCCAAGGGACGAAACACCACCCTGACCCCCATGATTGGCGTTTACTGAACGGCCCTGGGTGTTTACTGAGTAGCCCTGTTCACCGATTGGCCCCTTCCGGGTGTAGATCTTTTGGAATGCCTTTAAAAAGATGGACTGGCTAGAATGCGAGAGTGTGTGAGACTCTGCGAATGTGAGTACCTGAGAACGTGGTGACGTGCGAGACTGCAAGGATGCGAGAATTGCGTGCGAGAATGCGAGAAAGCCCGCGGGAGCCCGCACAGGCCGCGCCTCTGCGCGTGCCGCTCCGTCCTGTGGTGCGTCTACTAAACGGCTTCGCTTGCCGGGGTGCTTCTTCCTGATAGGTGTCTGTTCTGCTCTGGCACGGCACGGCACGGCACGGCACGGCACGGCACTGCACGGGCGGCATCGACATGCGCACGGCACGCACGGCACGGCGCGGCACGCATTGCGCACGGCACCCACGGCAGGCCACGGCCCTGACGTCACGCATTGCGCGGCGCAGCATCGAGCCTTGCGTATGTGCAGCAGACTGTACCTACGTATGCGATTCCGGGTAGGTTTGCGTGGCGATGTGCGGAGCTCGGAGCTTCGTTGTGCGCCTTGGCCAGTACCCGATTTGCAGGGGTCTTGAAACTCTCGCGGGGGGAGGTGGACCCGTGCTTGGAGGATGGCCATCGATGGGGCGGAAAAGGGGGGATGAGGGGTTGGAGGTTGGAAGCGAGGTGGACGTGGCACGGCCTCGAGGGCACCCGGAGCATCCGGAACTGCCTGCAACGCCAGCGCTCGGCGGACAGGGCCTTGGCCCTCCTGTACCCCCAGCTTTGGGCGCCCTCCCCGCCCCCTGAGAAAAAATCGTGCCTCCGTGGAAGGGTTCGTTCCCCACTGGAACGGCCCGTTCCACGGCGACCCTTTCCAAAACTGTAGCTCGTTTCCCGGTCGAGTGGTTCGTTCCTTAGGGATCGAATTATCCGCAGTTCTTCATTTTCCACCAGGGAACGAATGTTCCACCGGGGAGCGAGCCCTTCCACCGAGGAGTGAACCTCTCGCCCCCCTTCCCCCCTGTTGGCCAGGTGGATGGCGACGCTGTCCTCCGAGCCCCGCTCCCGCCTGCCCGCCTGCGTGTTGGCGTCCAGGGCGGACATCAAGTGCGACCCGAGGCCTCGCCGTCGTCGCCCCCTCCCTTGCTCAGGGTCCCCGTCTCCAGGAAGGGAGGAGGAGGAGGAGGAGGAGGAGGAGGAGGAGGAGGAGGAGGAGGAGGAGGAGAGGGGGGAGGAGGAGGAGGGCGGGAGGAGGGAGGAGGGGGAGGGCGGGAGGGGGGAGGGCGGGAGGGCGGGAGGGCGGGAGGAGGAGGACGGGAGGGCGGGAGGGGGAGGGCGGGAGGGCGGGAGGAGGGGGGGGAGGGGGAGAGGGAGGAGGGGGGGGAGGGAGGGAGGGAGGGAGGGAGGGAGGGAGGGAGGGGAGCGAAGGCGAGGGAGGGAGGAGGAGGAGGAGGAGGAGGAGGAGGAGGAGGAGGTGGAGGAATAATAATAATAATAATAATAACAATAATAATACTAATACTAATACTAATAATAATAATAATGATAATAATAATACTAATAATAATAATAATAATACTACTACTACTAATAATAATAATAATAATAATAACAATAATAATAATACTAATACGAATAATACTAATAATAATAATACTAATAATAATGCTACGAAGAAGACGAAGAATGATAATAATACTAATAATAATAAGAATAAGAAGAATAATAAGAAGAGGAGGAGGAGGAGGAGGAGGAAGAAGAAGAAGAAGAGGAACAGGAGGAGGAGGAGGAGGAGGAGCAGGAGGAGGAGGAGGAGGCGGAGGAGGAGGAGGAGGAGAGGAGGAGGGGAAGAGGAGTAGGAGGAGGAGGAGGAGGAAGAGGAGGAGGAGGAGGAGGAGGGGGAGGAGGGGAGGAGGTGGAGGAGGAGGAAGAGGAGGAGAGGAGGAGGAGGAGGAGGAAGGAGGGGGTGGAGGAGGAGGAGGGGAGGATGAGGAGGAGGAGGAGGAGGAGGAGGAGGAGGAGGAGGAGGAGGGAGGAGGGAGGAGGAGGAGGAGGAGGAGGAGGGAGGTAGGAGGAGGAGGAGGAGGAGGAGAGGGGGGAGGAGAGGAGGAGAGGGAGGAGGAGGAGGAGGAGGAGGAGGAGGAGGAGGAGGAGGAGGAGGAGGAGGAGAGGAGAGGGTTGAGGAGGAGGAGGAGGAGGAGGAGGAGAGTAGGAGGAAGAGGAGTAGGATGAGGGGAGGAGGAGGAGGAGGAGGAGGGAGGAGAAGAGGAGGGGAGGGGGAGGGCGGAGGAGGAGGATGAGGATGAGGTGAGGAGGAGGACGAGGAGGAGGAGGATTGAGGAGAGAAGAAAACGGGAAATTAAGGATGGAGTGGAATACTAATGGCATGAGGGAGGAGAGAGGAGGAGGAGGAGGAGGAGGAGAGGAGGAGGAGAGGAGGAGGAGGAGGAGGAGGAGGAGGAGGGGGAGAAGGAGGATGAGGAGGTGGAGAAGGAGGAAGAGGAGGAGAGATGCGGGAGGAGAAAAGAGGGATACGGTTTCCGTAGAACGGGTTCTAGGTTTGGCCATCTAGGTGGGGCAGCTGAACGGGTTACCTCTTGGCGAGCCGCTAACCAAATCAGATGTGCCCCGCTCGCCACATGCATCATATTATAACAGGCTGCTGGTGGCCTGATGGCTGGGTGCAGGGGGCTGGCTCGCAGCGGGAGGTGAGACGCGCGGCGCTGTGAATTCCAAACGAGGGCCCAAAACCACAGCATGGCTGGGAATAAGTCTGGTCCTTTCGAAATCTGGATGTTGCATCGTTGGGCCCTCTCGGAGGGCCTCTTGGAGTCTTCTTCGGCCGTCTTGGGGGCCTCTTGGGCCGTCTTGAGGCCACATTCGACCATCTTGGCGGTTATTTTAACGCCGTCTTGGAGTTCTCTTGGGGTCATCTTGGCCGTCTTGAAGCCGTCTGGGTCATTTTGGGAGGCCATCTTGGGCCATCTTGGAGGCCCACTTCGAACCATGTTCGTCGGAACAGCCCACCGGATGCAGCTTTGACGCGGGGCCAGCAGGTTGAAAAGCCAAACACAAACATTAACATGTGGCACGCCAAGCGCCTATGTGGCAAGCCAAATGGGGCGGCAGATGACGGACAGCGCGCATAGCGTCGCGATCTTTTAGTTGGAAGAAAACAAGGGGGGGTATGGGGGGTGGCGAACCCGGGATCAGATGACGGAAAGCGCGAGTAGCGTGCGATTCGTTAGTGGGAAGGAATGAAACTAGGGGGAGTTCGAGGGGGTGGTATCCCGTCCCCCAGGGATCTAATGCCCTTTTCCTTGTTAATGGAGCCTTTAACATGGAAAGGCGGGTGCTTGAGCTGACTCAGGCATCGGTTAACAGGGAAATTGCACGGACTTCCCTGTTGACGGGTGCCCGAGCGGTGTCAGGGCCTTGTTAACATGGAATTCTATGTACATTTTTTGTTGACGGGTACCTGAGCGGGGTCAGGTGCTTGTTAACATGGAATTCCCTGTTAGCGGGTGCGTGAACTCCGCGCAAGCTCCGCGTAAGCTCGCGTAAGCTCTGCGTAAGCTTGCGTACGCTCCGCTTTTAAGCTCGCGTAAGCTTCGCGTAGGGTCCTCGCCAGCGTACGATACCTTTAAGACGGCGTAGAGAGGCCCAGACGGGCCCGAGGACGGCCCAAGAGCGATCCAAGATAGCCCACGACGGCCTCAATACGGCTCAAGAGGTCTCCAAGACCCCCCCCCCGAGCACCGATGGGCGGTCTAAGCGGGGAAAACACGAACGTCGGGCAGCGGGCGGTCCAAACGGGGAAAACGACATCAATGTCCTTCCGAGCACCGATGGGGGGCCCATACAGGGAAAAACACGACATTCGGGCGGAGGGCGGTCCAAACGGGGAAAACACATGGTTCTGGACAGTGGGCGGTCCAAAACAGAGAAAACACGGCGATGCAAGTGACCTGCATCTTTCACGCACTCCTGCAGGTGGAAGCGTACGTCGATTTCTCTCCGAGCACCGATTGGCGGCACACACGGGGACAACACCACATTGTTTTCCCTCCGAACACCGATGGGCGGTCCAAACGAGGAAAGCACGACATCCGGGCAGCGCTGTTCGATCTCATCCTGAGCGAGTTCCGCCGGCTGCCAGCAGCCGCGTGTCGCCGCTGTGGCGAATCTCGTCCCGTCGAAGCCCAGGCTCCAAACGTCCGCCTTGCAGATGTCGAGCTTGATCCCGTTGGGCCTCGCCATGTAGGATCATCCGCGATCCCGCGTCCTCAGGTCCGCGTACGCTTGCGACAGTTCCGCGTGAGCTCGCGTGAGCTCCGCGTAAGCGCGTTAGTTCCTCGTAAGCCTGAGGCGCCTCTAAGAGGGCCTCAGAGCGGGTCAGGGGGGCCTACGACGGCCCAAGAGCGTTTCAAGAAGGTCCGAAAAGGCCACAAGACGGCCGAATAAGCCGCCAAGACGATCACAGATGGACGGTCCAAACGGGGAAACACGGCATTACAGATGGACGGCCTCCCCCGGCTTCTAGATAACCCTTGAGGGCGCCCAACATGCCACCAAGATGCCCCAAGTGAGCCTCCAGACGGGGAGACAGAGAGAAAGAACGGGCAAGCCAGCGACATCTCGCGCTCTGAAAGTCAAGGGGGCCCAGGAGGGCCCCCAGAGGGCCCCAAAACGGCCCCAGCCCGAAGACGGCCCCAGAGAGTCTCAGATGGCCTCCAGACGATCCAAGAGAGCCTCGAGACGGCTCCAAAGGCTCTCCAGAGGCTCCCGCGAAGGCCCACAGGGGCAAACAACATGTATTTTTCTGTGGTTTTGCAGGTTTTTGGGGTTCTTGCTTTTTCTTGTCAAGAACGGTCCAAAACGGCCCAAGAGGCTCCAAAGATCGTCCCCAGACGCCCCAGAGGCCTCCGAAAGGGCCCGAACACACTCGAAGCGGGCCCCAAGACATCCCCAGAGGAGCCCCAAGCGGTCCAAAAGGGCTCCAAGACGGCCCAAGAGGGCTCCAAGACGGCCCCAGGAGAGCCTCAAAAGGGCCCAAAGAGGCTATCAAGAGGGGTCCAAGAGGCCCCCGAGAGAGCCCCAAGACGGCCAATAGCCTCTAAGACGGCCCCAAACGGCTTCAATACGGCCCAACTGTACCCCCAAAGGCTTCCCCAAGGTCTCCAAAAGAGCCCCCACTAAGACCCCGACGAGCAACAAGAGACGAGCGGTGACGTAACAAGCTCTTGACACCAAAGTTCCCCAGAGCGCGGTGACGTCAAGAGCTCGTCACACCAATGCTCCCAAGAGCGAGCGGCAACGTAAAAGTCTCTGAACACCAGGGCTCCCAACGGAGAGCGGCGACGTAACAAGCTCTTCACACCAAGGCTCCCAAGCAGGTGACATAAAAAGCTCGTCACGCCAAGGCTCCCAGGAGCGAGCGGCAACGTTAACATCTCTGAACACCAGGGCTCCCAACAGAGAGTGGTGACGTAACAAGCTCTTCCCACCAAGGCTCCCAAGAGCGAGCGGCAACGTGACAAACTCGTGCACACCAAGACTCCCAAGAGCTAACGGTGACGTAAACAACTCTCAAAACCAAGGTTCCCCAGGGCGAGCGGCAACGTAAAAGCCTCTGAACACCAAGGCTCCCAAGAGCGAGCGGTGACGTTACAAGCTCTTACCACCAAGGCTCCCAAGCGCGAAGGGTGCCTTGAGCCCTCTCGGGGAAGTTCCTGGTCCGCTCTTTCCGTTTCCGTGCCGGCCCAGGTTTTTCGGGTTCTCCCTTTTTCAGTCCCAGAAGGGCCCCAGGCGGCCCAAGAGGCCCCACAGATCGTCCCAAGACGGCTCCAGAGGCGCCTCAAAGGGGCCCCAAAGGGTCCTGAATGTGGCGTGCTACAATTTCTCCATGCGGTTTCAGAGATGCTTTCTATTATTGCACACATGCGCTTCCAGAGATGATGCGAGCGTGGATAATGTAAGCATGGAATGCGCCTGAGTACAGAACGGGCGACGAAGACAGTCTGAGTGGTGCCCCTTGATCTAGACGCATCGTTTGAGACTCTCATGCGCACAGCTGTGTTCGTTAGCTTGCGAGCCATCGGCGTTCCAATTAGCCCTTTCCGTACCGTCACCGCTTCCCCCGCCGCCCCTGTCTATATCCACGCCCCCCTTCCCCACCCGTGTCCTTTCCCTTGCCTCTGCCCCAGAATCCCCTCTCGCCCCCCTCTTTCTGCCTCTCCGTCCCCTTCTTTTCATCTTCTTCCGCCGCCACTGATTGCACCTCCACCTCTCAGGAGCACAGGCAAAATTAATCGTCGACTCCCAGGAATACAAGAAAATATGGGAAGGGGGGGAAGTCGAAAATCAAGAAAATCTGAGAAACTACGGGGAATCCTGGAATTGTGTGTCCCAGGGCTCCTTCAACCTCTTCCTTCTGCATCATCTACACGTCCACCTGCACCTCCAGGACAGCTTTGTTCTTCTCGTCCTCCGCGCTGCCTCACCTCTGCCTCCACCTACAGCTCCCCTTCCTCCTTTTGGCTCCCTTTCGCCTCCTTGACAGCAACGGCTTGTTCGATCCGCCTGTGGCTCCTCGGGTGCGGCCTCCTGTCCAGTCCAGGCAGCCCCTCCCTCGTCTGGTCGCCTCGGTCGGGCACTGGGACCACCCTCCGGCGCAGGGCGGCGGCCAACAAGGCGCTGACGGAGCTGGAGGCCGCGCCCGGGAGGAGCATGGCGACGAGAACGACAGGGGGGCAGAGAGAAGACGAGCGGGAGCATCGAGGAACAAGGGGCAGACCCAGCACGTGTAGGAAAAGAGGGAGGTAGGGAGGGAGAGAGAGAGAGATAGAGAGAGAGAGAGAGAGAGAGAGCGCAGCACAACAAAGGGCTTAATGCTGTGTTGCCGTTGAGTGGTGGCAATTCTGCCCCTCCCCCCCCTATCAGGCATCGTCAATCAACCAGTTGAGACGTGCTACTCCTCCTCGTCGAGCACCCCCCAGGTGTGTCACCGTCGCTCGCGTCTCCGATTGTAGACTCACCAAAGGCACGTTGGGCGTGATTACGCATCAAGTCCCGTGGATGCGTGGGAACCGTGTAGACTCCGTGTTCACTCCTCAGGCTTACGTCACGTTCGCGGACCCTTTCTTTCAGACATGTGCTGATTAGTTGAATAGTTTGAATCGTTTTCTCAGCGGGGTATGTGCTGATGTGGAGGGCTATGCAGTGAGGTCTTGCGGGCCGCGTACGTCTGCGGATCATAGCCTTCAACAAGTGTTGTGGTGAGGGCCAAACTCCAAAGGTATTGATCCCACGAGTGTCTTCAGAGCCGCTCCCACGGATGTTGTTTCAGGGTGGTCGTCAGTTTGTGCCGTAGGCAGGGTCCATTTCGATCCGATCGATCCGATTCGATTCCGATGCCGCCGATCCGATGCGTCCAGAAGTTCGCATGGCACTGTTGGGCATCCTTGCGCAGCCGATCCGATTCAATATCGACTCCGTACCCGTGCAGCCCGACCTGATGCACATTCCGATTCGATCCGACTGCCCGATTCGGTGCTGACCGATTCTGAGGTGTGCCACAGGATCGGCGGCGAGCGATGGGGGTACGCGAGAAGGCGAAGGCCTTCTCGGCAGGCGGCGGGGCTTCTCTGAAGCCTTGGCGCCCTCCGAGAAGTTTTCCGTGCCTTCGGGGAAGGCTCAGGCAACTTTTCCGAAGGCCGGGGGGCTTCTGAGCCTTCTGAGGAGGCCCGCCCCTTCTCACTGCCCCCCCGGGGCGCGCAGCCAAGTGCCTCCACTCTTCCAGAGGCCACACGACGGAAAGGAGCAGCGCGACGACGACGAATGGCACCAAACATGGGCTCCGTATCCGTTGAGGAGTATGATGGCCAGGCCTGTGCAGACCGTTCGAGAGGAGGAGGAGGAGGAGGAGGAGGAGGAGGAGGAGGAGGAGGAGGAGGAGGAGGAGGAGGAGGAGGAGGAGGAGGAGGAGTGAGGAGGAGGAGGAGGAGGAGGAGGAAGGAGGAGGAGGAGGAGGAGGAGGAGGAGGAGGAGGAGGAGGAGGAGGAGGAGGAGGAGGAGGAGGAGGAGGAGGAGGAAGGAGGAGGAGGAGGAGGGAGGAGGAGGAGGAGGAGGAGGAGGAGGAGGGAGGAAGGAGGAGGAGGAGGAGGAGGAGGAGGAGGAGGAGGAGGAGGAGGGGGAGGAGACTGATCTTGGGTTTTCCACAGGAGCGCATCCACGTGGCGATCGGTGAGTGTGTCCCCCGCCGCTCCCGCCGAGCGCCCGCGCGGCACGTGGCCCTCCTGCCCAGCAGCAGCCCTCGAGGCCGACGCCAGCTCCGAGTTTCCCGTCGCGCCGCGCTTCAGAAACGCGCCGTCGTTCTCTCCCCGCCGGCGCCGTGATCGATCGAGCTGTCGCCTCTTTCCCGCGCCCCCGCGCCGCGAGCCAGAGGGTCCCCGTTCACCACCCTCGATGCTCACGAGGCGCGTGCTCGAGTGTGGCGTCGTCGTCGCTCCTTTCGTTCCTTGGATCGGTAGGCAGCCGAGCCACGCCAAGGATTTTTTGGAGCTCCACGCCCCGTCCGCCACGTTTAGCGAGGCACCCTACGGCGGGGGCAGGGCGCCAGCAGGCGGAACAAATCCGCCACGGCACGCACCAGGGCCAAAGGGGGCGGGCGGCCTGGTGAGCCGAAGGGTCACGGGCGGGGAGGGCAAATCCTCCCCAAGCCCTGGCCCTAAGCCATGCCAAGGAGTTTCAGCTTGGTTTTCGAAGAATAGGTTGGACGAAGAACCTCTACTCTCGATGCGTGGACCTGTGTGTTCTGGCCTCAGCTCTGTGGACAGCACTCACGCGCTGAGGCCCTCCGCGTAGGACTCCCAGCTCTAATGAGGACCAGTTCCTTCGAAACTTGCAGTAGCCATGGCAACCAGCGCGGAGTGGCCCGGGAGCGCACTGCGCTCTGCTACCACGTTGCGGATGTCTCATGCGACAGCCATCTGGCGCAAGAGCTCGGTGGTGATGCCGGGCAGGACTCGCGAAGGGAGCGAACCCATTCCCCGCGCGGAGCGGCTCAGGCCCCCTAAACGGCAGCGGTCAGCAGCAGTGCAACAGCAGAAGGGAGAAGGAGGAGGAGGAGGAGGAGGAGGAGGAGGAGGAGGAGGAGGAGGAGGAGAAGGAGAAGGAGGAGGAGGAGGAGCAGGAGGAGGAGGAAGGAGGAGGAGGAGGAGGAGGAGGAGGAGGAGGAGGCGGAGGAGGAGGGGGAGGAGGGCCGCCCACGCGGGCCCTCTCGGGGCCTCCTCCTCTGCCTCTCGGGAGGGCGCCGCACGGGCGGCGCCCCCCGAGGAACCCCCCAGGGAGCCCCAGGCTGGAGCTCTCCGCCAAAGTCGGCCCACGCCCCGCGCCGCGGAGGAGGAGGAGGAGGAGGAGGAGGAGGAGAGGAGGAGGAGGGAGGAGGAGGAGGAGGAGGAGGAGGAGGAGGAGGAGAGGAGGAGGAGGAGGAGGAGGAGGAGGAGGAGGAGGAGGAGGAGGGAGGAGGAGGAGGAGGAGGAGGAGGAGGAGGAGGGGGAGGAGGGGGAGGAGGGGGAGGGGGAGGGGGAGGGGAGGAGGAGGAGGAGGGAGGAGGAGGAGGAGGAGGAGGAGGAGGAGGAGGAGGAGGAGGAGGAGGAGGAGGAGGAGGAGGAGGAGGAGGGGAGGAGGAGGAGGAGGAGGAGGAGGAGGAGGAGGAGGAGGAGGGAGGAGGGGAGGAGGGAGGAGAGGAGGAGGAGGAGGAGGAGGCGGAGGAGAGAGGAGGAGGGAGGGGGAGGGGGAGGAGGAGGAGGGGGAGGAGGAGGAGGAGGAGGGGGAGGAGAAGGAGGGGAGGAGGACCCTGAGAAGGAGAGGAGGAAGGGGGGGAGGAGGAGGGGGAGGAGGAGGAGGAGGAGGAGGAGGAGGAGGAGGGGAGGAGAAGGAGGAGGAGGAGGAGGAGGAGGAGGAGGAGGGGGAGGAGGAGGAGGAGGAGGAGGAGGAGGAGGAAGACCAGTGAAAACCCAAGTGTCATCAACGATGTTGAACCCCCCTCCCTCCAAGCTCCCTCTTCGCAAGTCCCTACAGCGTTGGAAGACAACCGTTTGAGGATCCTGAAGCATACGAGAGCATTGTTCTCGTTCTCGGGGCTCCAGCGCCACGCAGCAACGTGATTGTTGCGTCTTGACGATCCGGAATCGTGCTAGAATGCTATTCCTGAGATTTTAACGCCTCGAATCAACGTTCTTGTTGCGCCCTCATAATCCTAAATCCTTCCGCAACACCATTTTTGGTACGTGTTGATCATGGGGAACTTTTGCAAATGTTAAAAGAAACGCGGCGCTGAGGCGAGAGCCACCTTTCGAAAAGGAACCGCCCTCAAACCGTGAAGTCCTAGCACGTTTAAAACGAATGTGCACGGCGCCAGCGAGAGCCACATTTTGAAAAGGAGACGCCCTCAATCCGTGAAACTCTTGCAATGTTTAAAACGAATGCGCGCGGCGCTAAAGCGAGAGCCACATGTTGAAAACGTCCCGCCTTTAATCCGTGAAACTCTTGCAAACGTTTAAAACGAATCTGTGCGGCGCTAAGGCGGAGCCACATTTTGAAAACGGGTCGCCCTCAACCCGTGAAACCCTTGCATTTTTGAAAACAAACAATCGAATATGCGCGGCGCTGAGGCGAAAGCCACATTTTGAAAACGACCCGCCCTCCGTCTGTGAAGCTGTTACTAACTTTTTAGGTGCAGGCTCGTACATGATAAGGAAGTCTCAGGCGAAGCGTCCGGCCCGCCCTAAACTTACCTCGCGGTGCGACAGGGAAACGTGTAAGGAAGAAATAGAGGAAGAGGAGGAGGAGGAGGAGGAGGAGGAGCAGGAGGAGCAGGAGGAGGAGCAGGAGGAGCAGGAGGAGGAGGAGCCCACACGGAGCTTTATTGAATCGCTTCGCTCATTCCGCCGGCCCATTGCGCATGACTGAGCCTCTTGGGGCCGCTGGGGGGCCTCTTCAGCGTCGCTTGGGGGCCTCCTGAGGGCCTCTTGGGGGCTTTGGGGGCCTCTCAGGGGCCTCTTGAGGCCTCCTGGGGGCTTCTTAAGGCCGAGGGCTCGAAGTTTTGTTTTGTGTTCCCCCTTTGGGGCATCGCTTGGGGCCCTCTTGGGCCCCTCTTGGGCCGTCTTGGATGCCTCTGGGGCCGTCTTGGAGCCCTCTTGGGCCATCTTGGGGCCTTCTTGGGAGCTTCTTGGGCCCTCTTGGGGCGATCTTGGGGGCCTCTTGGGCCGTCTTGGGGCGTCGGGAAGCCGAAAAGATGGACACGCCAAAATCTGCCCAAAACCTAAGGAAAAGTAATGCATTTTGCCTCTTGGGGCCCTCTGGGGAGTGCTCTTGGAGGCCTCTTGGGGCGTCTGGGGGCCATCTTGGGCGTCTTGGAACGATCGTGTGGCATCTCGGAGCACTCTTGAACCATCTTGGAGGGCTCTTGGCGGCCTCGTGGCCCTTCTTGGGGCTCTCTGGAGGGCCACGGGGGCGGCGCCCAGGAGGAAAACCATCTCTGACCCGAGTCTGCCGGGGATCGCCCGGGGTACTTTTCGTCCGGGGACCCCCAGGGGCCGCCCCGCGCGCGCGAAGTAGAAGTATTATTTAGCAGTGACCGGAGATCTTAGCACGCCTCTGGCCCGTTGGGCCGGCGAATTTTGGAGCCCTCCGCCAAAGTCGGCCCACGACCCGCGCCGCGCGCCCCGCCCCCGCGCCCCCGCGCAAGGCGCTCCGCGCGCAGAGCGTGTTCGCCCCCGGCGGCGGGCCCGCCGCCGTGAACCGGGGCAGGCTGCAGAAGGGCGTGGCGAAGATCGGGTGGTCGTGGGAGGCTACCGAGGGAGGGTGGCGGCGGCCGGGGAGGACGCCCAGCGAAGGCGGCAGGGCGGAGGGGCCCCCCGGAGGCGAGGGCGCGGCAGCGTCCGCCCCCCCCGGGGGGGGGGAAGGAGGCGAGGAGGGCAGCGGAGGGCCTCGCGGGCGGCCTGGGCGCGCGGGGCCGGCGGACTTCCCCCTCCATCACTTTATCCTTGTAGATGACTCGTCCTCCACTCGCACCAGACTTGGCTGCAGGGCGGGTCGGGCGTTTCGCCGGAGGCTTCATCACCATTTATGACCCTGAAGCTTCAACATTGGCAACCGTTTCACAGATGGAGGGCGGTTTCTTCTCAAAATGTGGCTTTCGCATTAGCGCCGCGCGCGTTCGCTTGGCAGCAACAAATTAAATACTTTCACGTATTGTGGGCGGCTCCTTTTCAACATGTGGCTCTCACGTTAGCGCCGCGCACACTTTTTCCACACGTTGTAAGAATTTAGTGCATTCCCATGGTCAGCGACTAGAAATGGTGTTCAGGAGAGATTCAGGATTATAAGGGTGCAACAATTACATGGTTTTGCGGTGTCGAAGTCCTGGGAATTGCGTTCTGGCGCAATTCAGGATCGCCAAGGCGCAACAGTCAGGTTCATCTGTGGCGTTGGAGTCCCGAGAATAATTCTGGCATGCGTCAGGATCATTAAACAGTTGGGCTCCAATGAGGCAGTTCCCTCAGTGGAAATGAATCCTTGTAGGGGCCTATCAAGAGGGAGCATGAAGGGAGTGTTTGTTCCAACACCGTTGATGACTCTTGAGTTTACACTGGTCCTCCTCCTCTTCCTCTTCCTCCTCCCCCGTCCCTCCTCCTCTTCTCTCTCCTCCTCCGTCCTCCCTCCCTCCTTCCGTCTTCCCTGCTCCTCCTCCCTCCTCGCTCCCTCCCCCCTGTCTCCTCTCTCCCTCCTGCTCCTCCCTAATTCCCTCCCTTCCGCCCTCCTTCCCCCCTCCCTCCCACCTCCTTCCTCCATTCCTTTGCCTTATACATCATTCCTTCCTGTCGCACCCCGAGGCCAGCCGAAAGGGCGGACCGGGCGTTTCGCCGGAGACTTTACTACATTTCATGATCCTGAAATTTGTGATCTACAATTGTTTCAAAGATGGAGTGCGTTTTTGTTGTTGTTTGTGTTTTTCTCGTGACATTCAATCTGTGGCGCCGCGCACATTCAGCTGAACCATCTGCAAGAGCTTCACGGATGGAGGGCGGGTGGTTTTCAAACTGTGGCACTCGCTGCAGCGCCGCGCACCCTCTTTTTGAACACTTTGCAAAAGTTTAACGATTCGAGGGCGGGTGGTTTTAAAATGTGGCTCTCGCCTAAACTCCGCGCGCATTCGTTTTGACATTCTTGAGGCTTCGCGTATCCCCACCATCCATGCCCCCAGGCGATGGCCCCCCGCCGACTCTTCTCTGGATTTCGGCTTCTCTTCACACCCACTCCTCGCGCCATCTGGTGGCTGGCGATCCGGATTTTCCGTCGAGCGCCCGCACGGCCTGTTCCTCCTCTTGTCGAGGCCCGTCGAGGTGGGATGGTGCCTGGCTGTGTCCATGGCGCTGCTCCTCGCGACGTTCTTCCACATCCGGGTCGAGGCCTTCTTCAATTACCTCGAGGTGCTGCACGACGCCCAAGGGTTCGTCCTGGTGCTGGCGCTCTTTTGAGCGGCAGTGAGGTTCGCCCGCTGCTCTTTTCTTCCGTCTTTTTAATCTTTGTCGTTTCGCCCTTCTCCTGCCGTGCGCCAATTTAGGCCGTTGCGTCGACGCTTCGTTCTGACGGCGCCCGGCGTCTTCCGGTGCGCTCGCGATCAACAAATGCCACTACCAGCCCATCTGGACGCGATCGGAGGTCTTGTTGAGGTCTCCTGGAGGCTCTCTTGAGCCATGCTCGGCTACAGACTGTCGGGGGCAATCTTGAGTCATGTTCGGGGGGTGCGAAGAGGCAGAGGAAGAGGATCAGGAGGGTGATGGGGGGGGGGGGGGGGCAGAAGAAGATAATCAGGAGGGAGGAGGAGGAACGGGAGGATAAGCGAGAAATAGGAGAACGAGAAGAGGGGGGGGTATGAGGAGGAGGAGGAATGCAGCGCGAGGAAAATCATGACGCTGCTGATGGTGATGGTGTGTATGATGATGTTGTTAATGATGATTATTATGATGATGCTGGTGATGATGCTGATGGCGACGATGACGGTGTTGATTCCGCTGATGATATGATGATGACGATGAAGGTGATGATGAGGATGATGATGGGACTGATGACGGTGATGGTGATGAGTATGTTGATGCTGGTGATGACGATGCTGATGCTGTGGATAATGATTGCGCTGATTAATTATGATGATGCTGGTGGTGATGACGACTATGATGATGCTGATGCGGATGTTGGTGCTGATGATGATGCGGATGAGGATTCTGATGTTGCTGATGATGGGGGTGCTGGTGCTACCGCGTAAGCTGATAATGGTGTTGATGAGGATGATGATGATGACGATGCCGATGACGATGCCGATGACGACGAATTCGACGACGATGACGATGACTGTGATGATGATACTGATTATGATGATTGTGATGGTGATGATGCTGCTGCTGATGGTGGACAGGATGATGCTGATGCTGATGATGCTAATGCTGATGTTGTCGATGATGACGATGATGATGATAATGATGACGATGATGCTGTTGATGATGACGATGATGATGATGGTGATGATAATGCTGATGATGATGATGCGGATGATGATGCTGCTGCTGATGATAATGGTGATGGGGGTGGCGGTGGTGGGGTGATGATGATGGTGGTGATGATGATGACGATGCTGATGATGATGGTGGTGATGCTGTTGCTGATGATGATGATGATGATGATGATGGTGAGGAAAGGGAGGACGACAACGGGGATGGGAGGGGGAGGAGGACGAGGAAGAGGAGGAGGAGGAGGAAGAGGAGGAGGAGGAGGAGGAAGAGGAGGAGGAGGAGGGAGGAGGAAGGAAAAAGGAGGAGGAGGAGGAGGACATGGAGGATATGGAAGGGTGGAAATGGAATGTATAGAAAGGAGCACGGGGAGGAGGGTGGAGGGTGGAGAGGAGGAGGAGGAGGAGGAGGAGGAGGAGGAGGAGGAGGAGGAGGAGCAGGAGGAGGAGGAGGAAAAGGATCAGGAAAAGGAGGAGGAGGAGGAGGAGGCGGATGCGTCGGCGGAGGAGGAGGAGGTGGAGGAGGAGGAGGAGGAGGAGGAGGAGGAGGAGGAGGAGGAGGAGGAGGGAGGAGGAGGAGGCAGGAACAGAGGAAAAACGGACTTGACGATGCCGAGGAAGGCGAACAACAAATTGGGCTTGACATATGGGCTGTTGTGAAACATCCTTGACGGAACACTCTGGCCATCTTGGAGGTTCTCATGGGGTGGTGCGCATCTCGCGAAAACCTCGCCGAAGGCGTGCACCGCGCAAGCCTTCGTAGGTGCCGCCTGCTCCAGGCTCGCAGCGCCATCGCGTTTCGGCGGGGTTCCCGGCCAAGGAGCGGGGGCCATGGGCGGTGCGACGCCCGCGCGGGACGCCAGTGGCGAGGGCTCGTGGGTCGACGCGGCTCAAAACTGAGCTGGCGCTACAGTAGAAGAAGCGGAGGAGGAGGAGGAGGAGGAGGAGGAGGAGGAGGAGGAGGAGGAGGAGGAGGAGGAGGAGGAGGCA